ATTATCACTCACTACCAGCATTATTGATTATTGAAATAGATATAGTATATAAGAAAATATAAATTCAATTAGGTACAGTCAGTCTTGCCAAAGTAGATAGATATTGAAGCAAATTTTAATTTTTTTTTATTTATCCGTAAAGATCTAGTAAAGATGCATTAATTTTAATTTTAACTTTGCTATTTGTTTTCAATTATTCTTCTTTTCTTTTTTTCTTCTTCTGTTTCCTTTATTTTATAAGTGATTGGAGATATTTCTATTTCAACCAACCACTTCTTTTGTAATGGTGGTGTACTTCGATCATCATCATTTGGATAAGTTACCAAATATTCCACTCATTGTATTATAAAGACTAGTGCCGTAATCCAAAAAAGGAAAAAGTATGGTTGCAAAAGTGGTCACAAAGGTAATTGCAATCATTTTTTATATGCCGTAAATACAATTACTACCATCCTCATAATTTACGGCACTAGTCTTTATTATATTACAATTTTGAAATATAATTGACTACAACATTATAAAAAAAATTGATTACTTTAGTGCTTAAACAGCAACGAAAGAAATATATATATACTTACCCTTAATTGAATTAGTAACAATAGTGAACCAGCTAAATTTCTATGCCTTGAATTGTTGCTGGAAATTTAAAAGACATGATCTCATGATATAAATAAAGTTCTGGGAATTTTAAATACATTACATAGACTCTGGCCTCCAGACCTAAAATTATACAATGATAAATGACTATTTTAATCATTTTTATTGACATAACCTTTCATTTAATTGCCTGAGGTTTGTATGCCAAATAAAGACTAGTGCTGTAAATTATGATGATGGTATTATTTACGGCATATAAAAAGTGGTTGCAATTACCTTTGCGACCACTTTTGCAACCATACTTTTTCCTTTTTTGGATTACGGCACTAATCTTTAATGCAAAATGATTTCAACTTATCAATATTATCACCTTTTTCTTCTTGTAGTAATTCTTTATAAATGGAAGTAATTTGGTCATGTAGTAAAATCCCTAATTTTTTTTTATCTGTTTTGAATTTTCTACAATCTTCTACATAAGTTTTTTTGCTTTTTCAATCACAAGTATCTCTTTGTTCATTTTTTTATTGATTAATTTTGAATCAGGAATTAATGATAAATGGGTTTTATCATCATCCTTGTCGTTTCTTCTTTCGCCATTAGCAGTATGTAGCTGCCAAATATATAATAACCAACTAGAGTGACGACAAGTGGTAATAACCACCATTATTTTTAACAACTAGAATAATGACGAGTTGCAATGATTACAACTGCTATCACCAAATAAAAAAAAATAAATTGTTATATATATATATTGCCAATTCTGTGATGCAAACAAATTTAAAAAGATAGGGTTATAAAGTAAAGAAGAATAACGCATTTCAGGATATTCACGATTAAAATACATACTATCAATGCTAAATAATCTAATACTATATATAATTTAATTTGTAGAAAGGGTTAATAATAATGATTTGTCAGAATCAATATCCTTAATAATAAGACAATTAAATAAAATAAAAATTACTCACAATATCTTGATAGTTGATATAATTAAGTTGATAATCATTGTCTTTTCTTCAAAATTTGTATACAATTCTTTATGACTATATTTAATTAAAAAAGCTTCACCTTTATTGATGTCTGATATGGCTGATATTTCAGTTAACATTTGTTTTATTTCTTCATCTTTAGTACATCAAGGTCAGATCTATTAATTTTATGAGTTACTCTAAATTCATCTTTAAAATTCGATAATGTTGTATACAAATCTGATTCTTTCTTTTTTTTATCTTCGAAATTTATAATACCATATCTCATTAGATCATTAAAAATAAAACAATAAAATTCATTGGTTCAAAAAACAAGCATAGAAATATTTATACAAAGATATATTATTATCATTAATAAATACTCGTTTTTGGTATTGTCATGTATTAATTTAAACTGATCCTCCAATTTTTTCAAAGCCTAAAATATTAAATGACTTGTTAGTTTTCTAAAAAAAATTAATAAAAATGTCATTAATAAATTTGTTCACGTCATTGTAATCGACACCAAATGATGGTGTCTTTTTTACAGTAATTTCATATTTATTGGTATCAGAATTAATAAAAGTGACCAGGGTTGTGCAATTTCGCTGTACGAGAAGAATCTTCGTACGTATGACTGACTTCGTACCATTGAGTTTGTACAGTTTCGTTGTGGTCGTACACCTGTACGAGGAAATTTTACATATGTACGTACGTACGTACGAATGTACGATGTATCAGGAACGATGATTTTCTGCGGTGGCAAAATATTACTTTGTAAAATCCTATAATAATAATATTATTATTAAGCCGATAACACTATTATATAATTAATGGATTACCAGATGTTGTAACTGGGGTCGTAATACTATTTCATTATCAGAAAAAAACTGATTATCATGTTATATATGCTTATTTAAATCCCTTGTTATTATGTAGTAGTATTATACTTTATTATTATAGTCAGTGTTGTGCAATTTCATTGTACGAACGTACGATGATTTTCTATGGTGATAAAATATTATTTTATAATAATATTATGCTGTCAGCCCTATTACTATTACGATTACTATAATTAAAGGTCGTAGCAGATCGTAATACTACTTCGTTATCAGAAAAACCCTGATTATCATATTATACTTGCATTATTCTGGGTGCATTATTGTTAGTAATATTAATATTAGTAGTATTATTATTACCGTGATTCCTAAATTTTTTTTTCTATTTATTTATAATAAAATAAAAAAATTATCTTTACATTCTTGTTAATTATATTATCAATTTAAAATAATTAATAGTAGTATTAAATATCTTCAATCATATACGTAGTTAATTCCACAATATAGTCAAACCTTGACACAGCAGATGAACGGTACATATAAACAAATTTTATTTAAAATCCGTTGTGGCAAGATTACTAAATATTAATACTAATCTTGCCACAGCGGATTTTTTATATATTTTTACATGTGATATGCGAAGCAAAAAATTTTAAAAATCCGTCATGACGAAAGTTGCACATATTAATATATATTACATTTGATCAACCAATAGAAATTATCGTAAATCACATGATATGTTCATACAATGTATATACTAAAAAAATTTTAAGCTCATACGTACTTGTACGATACATGCATGTGTACATGTACGATTCCCAACCCTGATTTAATTTATTAGACTATTTCAAATGGTTGCTTCCAACTTTTTAAATTCGAACCATTTGTTAATGAAACAACTGTTTGATTTTTTCATAAATCGTTCATGTTTCCTCTTGATCGTATATCTTAAATTGGTCGCGTTTACAATCATTTTGAAATTCGTTATATTAAGGTTATTTTGATTATATCGAGAGATATGGTCAAGAGAAGAGTTAGGAAGAGAGTTATTCTTTAACCAAGTCGAAAACCAACCCTTTAAATACATTTTCGAGTAGTACAATTTAATTTATTAGACTATTTCAAAAGTTTTGTCACATGATTGCTTCCAACTTCGCCATTTGTTAATGAATCAAACCCACATTAAATGTTTTATTTTTAAATTCACGATTTTAATTGATCAATCAATCAAATGGTCTCTCCTGTAATAACGTTGTATATATAATAATAACGACAATTATTTTATGTGGTCGAATGTAGAAGGTTGAGTTCCGTGCGCTGAAATGGCCTGAGAGTAATTTCTCTATGAAAAAATAACAAAAAAAAAAAAGTTTAGACGGCTGTCCTATTCATATGTTTTGAATTTAATAAAATAGACTATTGTCTTGGCCCAAGTGATGTCATTTTTTTGCTCTTTGCGACGAAGAAGATGCAAAACCCAACTTGATTGAATTTTTATTCTCGCGTAGCATGGTGTGCATGTTTTGTAACGCGAAAAGCAAAAGCTCACATTGCGTTCTCAGTTTGTAACCTTGTTATTCTTTTAAAATGATATATTATTTATAATGATAAGAAAATACAGATAATCTCATCTATCTGAATATAATTAATAAAAATACGATGTGTTTAGTTATTTCTTTATTTGTACATTGCACTCGTGATAAAAATGTAAATTGTTACAGATACTGTGAAACAAGGTCAATCCGAAGTTTTCAAAATTATAGGTGAAAAAATTATGAGGGAAATTTTGGATATATATAGAAATAAAGATTCACTTCACAAAATTGTTGAAAGAGTTATCAGAGAGGTTATGATGAATACATTACAATGGAAATTTGAGCAATTTATAAAAACAGCTACATGGAGGAGACCTAATAAAAATTTACATGTTCATTGTTTTATAGACCGAATGAAAAATAAAACCCCAAGTCCTGGAGACTGCTTTAGCTTTGTGGCTACAAAGACTAAAATGGATTTTGATTTACACGGTAATAAAATAAATCTAAAAATAGGAATTTATTGATGTATAAAAGATCTTAATAAGGAGGTAGATTTAATGTGTTATCTTGGAAATGATATTATCGGTTTATGTGCAAGATTTATTATGTATGATAAGAGGTGTGAGCCACCGTCTTCTGACAAGATTACACAAATCAGAGATTCAGATGAAAAGTATAAACTAATTGATACTTTTGCTCTCAAAGAAGTGACTCAAGTCATATATATATATATTAAAAGAGATAAATGTGATAAATGGGTTTACTCCCCAAATGATGGTTGCTCATTGATATGCTTATAAACGTGCATATAGAGAAGCAGTAGCACATGAATTACTTTTCCAAAGAATAGGAAAATATTTCATGGTGATTATATCTCATATGAGGATTTAATATTAATGATCCCATTAAAAGATTATGGAAGAGAGCAGTAAATTATGTTATTGGGTCTATGGTGGAAAAACCTAATAATAGGACAAGATATACTCCAGTCTGTAAAAATAAAATTAAAGATGGCCCCCATTTGTGAAAAAATAATAAAATTATATATCATAAACGTTATGAAGAACATACAAAGTAATGCAGATAAAATTGGAACAATGTTAAAAATAGAAATGGTCACAGAAATCCCTATGTTAATATTAGCTAATATAACAGAAAATGATAAGCATGTTCTTAATTTAGAAATTTATGGTATGAGATGATTTCAGTAGTGTAACACAAAGGTATTATATCTCTATATATAACTTCACGTATATTATTTTTATTTTTTTTTCTGGTTATATTTCGATACTACAACCATATAATATAAGCGATAAGTAGTAAGATAAGTATATAAAAAAAATCAAGTCAATTACACATAAACATTCTAGTCATTAAGAATTACCCCTATTTTTAATCTACGACTCTGTTGTCATATGTCAAAATTTTTTTTTATGTGTCAAAGACACTATATAGCTTCCGCTATTCTGAGATTTACTTTTCTATTTTTGTCATTATAACATGTAATATATATATTCTGATTTGTTGATCCAAGTCATGTATAATAATATCACTACTACATGTGATTTCCTGCAATCTCGGACAAAAAAATAATTTCTGGCAAGTGCGAATATATATTATTATTATACAATGTGTTATTGGATTTATATCAGCGATCCGTGGTATTGGTTTTCCAATAGATGATTGATTATTTCGTGACTTAGCAATATAGTTTTTTGATTCAAATTTTTTGTTCATTTATTATTGCGACTATGTCTCTATAAATTTAATTGAAAAAATATTATATAACATGTCTTTTAAAACTGAAATTAAAAAAAAAAACAAATTGATGAATATAAAGAAAAGTTAGTTGCAAAAGAAATACAGTGTGTTTCAAAAAAAAAATGGCGCGCACAAAAAATCACATATCTCAACAATTATGCAAGGTAAATAAACAAAAATAGATTCATTTGAAAGCTTATCAAATATTTTATTAAATAAAAAAAATCAATAAGAATTATACCATTGGTTTTTTTCTAAAAACCAACTCACATTTCTGTTTCATAGACATAATAATATTTTTGACTGTTTCCCAAGGAATTCTTCGTCAATATTTCTTGGAGTCCTTTTTCAACATTATTTTTATGATATACCACATATTTTCAATGGGATTAAGGTGATGACTGTTGGATGGCCAGTCTATTATGCAAATTCTTTTTTCAAAAATGAAGGTTTTTGTAACATGTGATGTGTGTTTTGGATCATTATCCTGTTGCAAGCGCCATGTAATAAACATATATACAAGTATTTATTATCATTCAAACAAGTTACCCAATCGTTTTTTGTCATGTGAAAATTTTTAAAAATAAATTTACATTTTGACGCATTTTTTTTGATATTTTCATTGTCAGTCAAATATATAGTTGACTACATAAATCTGAGCACGAGCTTGCGAGTGAACAAGGCCAATAGAGTTATTTTTAAAAAGTTATATTTAATATGCAAAAGATCACCCATACAAACAAAAAGGTTAGGGATTTTTTCCCATAAAAGAATTTTAGAATGGACCGATTTTGTTCATATCCGGACTATTAATCGGGAATCCAATATATATATATATATATATACCTCGAGAACAAGAAAAAAAGTAAAAATTTTTATAATCAAATATTACTCATCATGAAATTCAACCTAATCATTGCCATCATCTTTAATCTAACGATTGGTCTAACACTTGTGCCACTCATTGAAAGTAAATACTTTTTAAATGATCACACTTTGAAAAAAATTAATTGTATGTTCTAACAACACTATGTTTACTATACAGGTCATACAATTTGGGTCCATAACAAATGTGGACAGGTACATATGGCATGCTTTCAATCATGCAAAATGGATATGAAATAAGAAATGGAGGTTCATATGCTCACAATGGTTTTAGTGTTGAAGTGTATGATGATGTAAAAAGTTTTAACCTTTCATTCTATGTCCAGCTTTCAGGTGAAAAAGATAAGTATCGTGGACCATTCACAAATGACTGGGATTACGAATGGAAATTTACTGGTAGTGAAGATAGTTGGGATATTGAAGAGCTATCCTAGTAATATTCCCCTTTCTTATTTCTTTACTAAAAAATTTCTATCTAAATCATGATGTTATATTTTCATATTAACTTTACCATAGTTTAATCATTTCATTTTACTATAGTGCAGGACACCTAGTCCCACAACTTTTTATTGGTCTTGTATATCCTTTAGTATACCAAAAATGGAAATGTAACACCAAAAAAACAAAACATGATTTTGAAGCTAAGACCTTTCTCCACAAAGCTACGATTTCATTTTGTTGATATGTCACATTACCATGGAGAGATCAAGCCTCAAAGTTGCACAAGTTTACTATGTTAAGCCCAAAACTGTCGCGTTACACGCGATTTATATATATATAAAAATGAACAAATTGAAACAAAATAAAAGTTTTTGAATTTTTAGTTGATGATCACATCCATATTAGGTAATCCAATGTTTATTCTTATTGCCGATTTTACTATTTATGGAATGACTAGGAAATATCACATGACAAATCAATTTTTATTGCATTTTTGATTGGAAATTTTTTCCCAAAATCCGTCATCGTGGCGCAGTAAGTTGCGGGATTAGGTGTCCTGCACTGTAGTAACCAGATGTTCCACTACTTCCCTCTGAGTACCATCTAAGATCCGTGAAACTGATGCACTTTCTAAACAAGGAAACAGACATTGAAAGTGACGAGAGGAGTGGTAAGGGCAAGTAATCCTTGCTGTAATGAGTTAGGTTCATCATTAAGATTTTGAGCATCTTGGACTTCTGATAGGGCTTCATTTAAAGAAATACATTCAAGCAATGCTCCCTTTTTCACTTTTTCCTCATAAATTATTTGTTTTTAGTATGAGTTTGAGAACCAACAGTATTTAAAGGTGATGGATTTGATGAAGATGTTTCTATGAATAGAGTAGGACTACAAATATAACAATTATGATTGTTGTGATATTTTAATTCTGGCTCAATACCATCATTTTTTGATAAGTGAAATAAGTGAGTTGATCCGATAAATGAAAAGAAAAACAGATTTATCTCTAGTTCAAGATTTATTTGGCCAATTAATTGATTTTCCTGCAGAAACCTGTCCTATTAAAGCTATGTTAACTTCAAAGAAAGGTTCATCAAAGTCTCCTATGCCATTAATGAATTGATGAAATAAATTATCATCAACACTTGAGTTAACATTTACAAATTGAAGCTGACTACCATTTGACATTTCAATGAATATAAATTTATTATGTTTAATTATGACAAAAAACATTTTGTCAGGTATCATCTAATCATGTCATCATCGATGATGCATTTTTGACATTCAACATTAGTGATTGTCAATCAGTAATTCTATTTTATTTTAACTTTCTTCCACTACATTATGCCTTTCTTCTGCTTCATTAACTATTTATTCATTTTTGTTGATAATTGAATTAGGCATATAACCTATTCTCAAATTAGCAAAGGATTCTTCTAACTCAATTAAACTGGGATGCGTTTCAGTAAAAACATTGTTAAAAAATAAATGTGTGGAAGTCATTTTTTATATATTTAATTATTTATGTTGTAAAAAAATATGGGTCTGATTCATTTCGTCGACACCCATTTAGTCGAAAGTTTGTTTCATCGAAAGTTCACTACGTTGAATGTTCATTTCGTCGAAATTATTTCATCACAAAAAAAAAAAACTTAATTAAACAAATTTTTCCTCACACTTCCCACACACTCCGCTTTCCTCACCTAATTTCTTAACTAACTTTCCACACTCCTCACACCTAACTCGTTCGGTATCTGGCTCGAGGATGAAATAATTTTCGACGAAATGAACATTCGATGAAACGAACTTTCGATCAAACAAACTTTCAACGAAATGATTGTCGACGAAATAATTTTCGACGAAGTAAACGTGACCGCAATAGAGGACTCATCAGGAAATTTTTTCTGACGCAAATTTGCGTAATATTACGGGGCCCGCCGTAAACTTACGTAAATAGTGTAATATTATGCAAAAATTACGCAAAAATTACGCAATTATTACATTCAGTGTAAATATTATGTCCTTTTTATGCGTAATATTACGACATTTCATATTAAAACTTACGGATGTAATATTATGGCGGGAAAAGTTTCCTGATGCTCTTAATGACAAACTTGTTTCACCACCAATATTACTATCTGTTGCAGAAGCAGCACAACCATTCCCATATGTAGCATCAATCAGCACAGCATTATATACCAGTTCTTTTAAATCAACATCATCATCTTTTCTACACATTTTTTCAACATATTCAAACTTTCTTCTAATACCCAAGTTTTCCCAGTACCCAGGTCCTGCTGCAATAAACGGAATTGGGTGAAAATTACGATCCTTAATTTATTCCGATGTGCATAATAACGTTTTATAATACCATTTTTATTTAAGGTTCCATTCAAAAGCTGTTCTGTTGTTTCTTCTTTACCAAGAAACTTGAAATTATTTCCATATGTGGCTATAAGCTGGAATAGTAGGAACACAAAACATGGTAAGTAAATAAATTAGGATATCAATATGCAATACTGCATTAATTTACCTTCGGAGGAACTTCATTAGTTGGTCTTCTATATTTTTGAATCCAAGACAAAATAAATTTAGGAGTAATGACATATTTTTGAGAGGCTTGTGCAAGGGAGAGATTATTAAGTACTAAAAGAACATATATAGAGACAAACAAATTAACACCATATCCGGTGTATAAAAGTACTTGCCTTCACCGATTAAAGAATGAAAAAGTATCGAAATTGAATTATTGAAGGAAAAAGTGTAAAATAAATGGAAAGAACGAAAAATAATTTTTTGTATATTTTTTTACGCAATTTGTTCATTACCTTTTTCTTCGTTGAATTCACGCAACCTTTTATTCCATTCTACTACTTCGTTTCCCCACCTCTCCTCTTTTTTTTTCAACCTCTTCTCTTCTTCCTCCAGCCTCGCCTTCTCTTGCTCCTCTGTTTCACTAAGATTGCTACTTCTTGTCTTACTCCTCAACTTCTTCAACCATTGCCCATCATCCTCCCCTTCTTTAAACTTCTTCAATTTCCCCTTCACCTCCTTCAACATCCCAATGTTTAATTTTTCTTTAATTTCTTCTTTGGTTGTCATTTTTAAAATTAATTTTTATTGATTTAGATCGTAATTTTGTTTTTTATAAACAATGATAAATTAGTGGACACATGACTTGGAATTAATAAATTTTTTTTTACGGACAATGGATTAAACAATAAAAAGAAAATTAATAAAAAGAAAAATACATATAAAAGTCTAACTTTCACTATTACTACTATTATTCTTTTTATTATTAAATGCATATTTAGTAGGCGTTGTTCCAATTGTGTATGGGCCATCTGACAACTTACCAATCACAAATAGATCAATTTTCATCCTCACGTGAACTAGCATCTTTATTCCTCTCACTTTCATTAACACTTTAGAATTATGTTATTAAACCTTAATGAAAAAAAATTTTTTCTTAATCAATATTTTAAATATTGTACTGTAAAATAATTTAAAATATTTAAAGTATTTAAAAGAGTTTTACTTAAAAGAGTTTATTATTTAAAAGATTTATCAAAAGTGTTTCTTGTTATATACAGCTGTCATTCCTTATGTAAACCGGAAATGGTCATTATGTTTCTGTTATTTCTTTTAAAAATATTCGGCTCATGCCATTGCCAAAAACATTTGAAGGATGTTCAACGCAGCATTAAGATCGCGACAAATTGTGTTAGAATATGCTCGCACACCATGAATTTCACGATTGACCCCTTTGGATTGTCATGCCTTTAAGCTGGTAGTGGATACAACAATTGCCGACCTTACTTGTACGTTAATTATAATAATCCGAGGCAGCCGCTGATCAATTTTTTAACAATCCGTAAAGATGATTAAATTTATCACACAGTAAACATATAATTTTTTTAATAAATAATTTTTTTTTTACCGATGATATCTTACCAATACTTTGCATTTCATAAAAACCATTTTCCTTTAAAACCAATAAAAAATTTTTTTCGTTATATACTCTTTACTTTGTCTACCAAGTCTTCCCATCGTATGTGATGGGTCAAAAATACTATTACTATTTAACTGAGCATCGTGTGTGAGCTTTTTATAACAGATAATAAAAAAACTAAATTAAGAATGTGTTAAATATCTATTATTATGTTCATAAGAAACATATATGCTGGAATCAGTCGAGTTTTTGGTAGTTATATTATAGATTCTTCGTTTGACAATTAAATTGTCTCTTGTGTTGTCTTTAACATAAGAATTGTTTTGCACCACACCAGAAAATATCAAAATTTGACTTTGATCTATTGGAAAGTCTTCTTTGGAAAACCCCTCATTGTCATTAACGATAATTGTTTGAGTTAAATGTAGCTAAAATTTTAAAAACATTTAGTTAATGTAAACAAAAAATTTCAAAAACGACCAATTAGAACAATTAAAGGTTTTTCGTTAAAATTGGTGATGTTCTTATCTTTATTGTTATTAAAAAATCCCTTAAACAAACAATTCCACGAAACCGCCTATTGCTGTTCTATATATCGCAGTGCCAGATATACTATTGACAATTGCAGCGACTGCTTTAATGAAGCAATTAGAATTGAATATCGATGACAAAATTTATTTTTTTAAATATTATTTAATATGGTGTGGTATGGATTTTTTTTAAAATGAATGAAACTTTTATAAAAAATCCTTTTTATCAAAAAACAGTATCAAAATTACATACAAAAAAATAAAGAATTCAACCAAAAATATCAATTGACGTTGTACCGGTTTAATTTTGTCGATTTCACACTTTAACAAGTATTCAATTTTGCTACTCAAGCAACTGTACAAACACAAATTACTGTTTGTTGTTGAACAAGAAAGCAATAACGATGTCCCAAGGTAACTACTTGTGAAGTTTGCGGAGCGATATCGAATAGATGCGCACAAATTCTACGCAGTTTTGGGCATTGTCCCTTACCTTTTTGGTTATAAGAATGTTCTGGGAGGATGGTATATGGTTGTTATGGAGGTTTTAGATAGCGATTGCCAAAACTATTTTGAAGGGGCGAAAGTAAAATTAAGAGTTATATGTCAAAACCGAATCAAAAGTCAAAACTAGTTTCGACTTGTGGGCGAAACCTTTTGACTTTCGCACAGTTGCGAAACTCTTTAGTTTTCACTAATAGCGATTATGAACATTTGTCTCTACATGAACCTACAGAAATCAAGAAAAAAAAAATGCTTGGAAAGAGGTTGTTAGAAAGATGCATGGTGCGAGATTTGTGAAGGATAACAACGATGGGTTAAAACATTAAAATTGTCGATTACGATTGAGCTGGTAGGATTGATCACATAATGACAATCTATTCCTCGTTTCTTAATTCCAAGGTATGTGATGCTTGCTTTAAACGGGAGCATGATGATATGGTTAATTTCTAAATTGTATTCAAATGATAATATAATGCTAAATACATGCATTTATAATTAATCTTGCTGGTTTATCATACATAATCAATCATAATAAAAATAGCGATTTGTAATGATAGTTTTTCTTTTTATAATTGCTTTTTTTTAGAACTTGATTTATTCAATTAATTAGAGATTTTACCAGTGTTACACCACTACCTGGAATTGTGACTTTAAATAAGTATACCTAATTTTTCGTCACCATGAATATCAAGTTGTGAGTGATGCATTTTACCTTCATAAATCACGAAAAAAATGTGGTGGGGTCTCACAGTATAACTTTGGTATCTTGATCCCCTAGAGTCTGTTTGTGGCACTTTGCTGCTATTAAACAAAATAACATCATTTGTTTTTTTTTTCATGGATAAGATTAAATATTTAAATATTTATTTTTATTAACTTTCTAACTAATTAATTAATTAGAATAAAAAATATCACTAAAATTATAAGATATACATTTAGCTTTTAAATAATTGTTAGTATGAAGAAAAATAAATAAAGGCTTGAATTATTTGATTTAAGCAAAGAAAATTCACATTTAAAGAAATTTCATTTATCTAATCCAAGATCGTTTTATTAGCGATTGCCACATCACCAATTTTGTTCAAATAAACAGCCAAAGGTTGTGACATTGTAGTAACTGGTCTACCACTGAATAAAACTCCTGTTACAATATCGACAGTTAATTCTGATAACCTGAAAATAATTATTTATATTATAAATATTATAAACATATTAAATATATTAAAACATACAAATTATAAATATATTGTAACATATATAAATTATAAATATATTAAACATAAAATTATAATAAATAATGATTAAAATTTTTCCTTATAAAAAAATAATAATAATAATAATTTACAAACCATTTTTTTTGTTCTTCATCAAGTTGAGGTTCTTCTGAACTATTTGATAATGCTTTTATAGCATCAAAATGTAATTCTACGCGAGATCTATATTTAAGAAATGGTCCACTAGCTTGATTGAGACATTGCTAAAAATATTAGAATATTCAATATAATATTCAATTTTTTAATAATTTGCATATATTTGTTTTTAGGAAATATTTTGCTTACATAAAGTAATGCTAATTGATGTGCCATATATTTATGATTTGTAAGTTTTATATCTTGTTGGAGTTGTAAAGATACTGAAACTAATTGATTTTGTAAATTCATTCCATGAAAATGTGCTATATTTAATATAATATTGTTAGTGACTGCATATAGATGTATGTAAATATATAATTGAAATTTACCCATAGCACTCATTTTGTTTGATGAATCATTAAATAATGTAGTATTGGGGGTTAATCTCTTTGCAGACTTTGGAAATAAATCACTAAGTCCTAGTTCTAACAAGTAGGTCTTATAATAATATTCAAGTATGTTATTTATAAAATTAATTAATAGACTTATTTATAACCTATTTGTATATATGCACTTGTTTGGTTGATTATTCATTTATTCGTTATAATGTTTAACTAACCAACTTACTTGAATATCTTTCTTTGATGCAGCTTCATCTTCAAGTTGAAATATTATTGTCTCTAGAACAGAAAGTGCATTTTCAATTTCTTTTTTATTGAATTGTTGCTAGATATCACAGTAATAATAATAATAATAATAATAATAATAATAATAATAATAATGTTAAGATAATATATAGATATTATTAGAGCACCTAATAATTTAAAATTAATTAATTAATAATTAATAATTTTTTTTGTGGAATGTATTTCTTGAAATTTAACTAATATAATATTTATTTAATCTAATCTGATAATCTAATTCCCATAATAATGATTAAAAACTATCAATCAATCAGCTAATTAAACACTTGGTTTTTTTTCCTTTGCTCTTTTCAATTGATTCGATGATAATATTTCAAAAAGATCACAGCCGCCCAATTCATTCATAAAAAAGAAATTTCACAGACCTGGTTCAAGTTCTCTATTTTAGTATCTGAACTTGCAAGCGATTCCTCTTTATCCAACAAAACCTCCAACCTTGTCAGTGTATTCAAAATTTGCAAACCTATTCTTTTCTTTCTAGATCTAGGTTTTTGAATTAGAGGTTCATGAAGGTGTATTTCAACTATTTCACAATAAATATTAAATAAATATTACTTGTAAAATAATTTTTCGCCATAAATACTTGTATATAATTTTAATTATAATTATTATTATTAATATATATTAAAAATTAAAACCTTGATTTTTATTCGTTTCATTCAAAGTTACAAGAGGTGGTGTTGTTTTAAATTTGCTCATATTAATCAAATATTTATTAATTTTAATCCCTTGATCTACTATATATGACGAAAATGGCGATCATTGAAAACTTCAATGAAAATCACGTGAAAATTTAAATATTAATATTAAACTCGTGTATAAGTACAAGTACGAATCCCAACCCTGTATTATTAGGGGTGTGTATTTCAATTCGTATTATTATTTAACTCTTTTATCGAACATAACTTATTTCTTTTCATTCCCATTTATATTGACATGTAAAACTTGCTTTTTCAAATTATAATAAACACTTATTGTGTATGAATTTGATTTATTTATTTTTGCTTCCTATGTTGTAAAATAAGCATTATCATTTGAATGAGTACCTTATTATAAAATTATAATAACCAATAATAAAAATAAAAGATAAAAGTAAAAGAAGAGTACAATTTATAATATTACAACCAAAAATTAAAGTAATAAATGAAGCTATCAAAGAGCTAAAGAGCAAATACAGCC